AGGATGATGGAGGCATAGGATTAGCCCACGACCAAATTGTCTGTCCTGGTGTCATACCCCTAGTCAGCCCTTTGAGCCGTGTAACTTCCTTTCTTTCGGTCTTCAATGAAAATCACCATTTTGCATCTCTTAGAGGTTCCACATAGTGGTTTTTGCATGTTCTCTATTGTTCTGATAGAAACAATATGAGGGATGGAGGTAGTTCTTAAATGTTGGGCATATGTTTGAAAAGAGTGTAAAAGTGGTGTTTCTCTAAAGTAATGAAAAACAAAAGAAAAAAATGAAAGCAAAAGAGAGCCACCATAAAAATATGAATCGTGCCCATTGAGTAGTGCTTCTTAGCAATCTGGCTTAGGAATAATAGCAATATTGTGACCTCCTACACTCTTGTACTCTTAAAGAATTGGATTAATGCAAAATGGCAGAAGGGAAGTAAATGATTTGAATGATTGTGACTTTTTTGTTTTGGAACGGTGGAACCCTCTACTTTGAATTCTTCCACCATCTAAAAGGCTATTTCCCCATGTCCATGACCCTAGCCAGTCATCTGAACCTGTGTCTAAGACCGCCAGATTAGTTAGCGGTGACATCCGATATGTGAACTACAGCATTTAGAGGCTGCCCCAAATGAGCATGTGCATCTTTCGCAATCAAATTGTCCTGACCCAACTGGTCGAGAGTAATCGATTCATTTCCCTATATTCTTTACGTTCTCTACCTCGGTGAGGACCTAGATTGCTCGGTCTCGATTCTGATGCCTTGAATTGTGTTCCTAAGGTGACTGAATTGAATAAGTGGTTGAGTCAAGTCTATGTTGGTTGGTAAACAGAAGGGAGACTCTTCCTTCACTCGATTTTGCGGCACTCGAATGTCATCTGTGGTGGTTGTCGGTGTTGCAGTTGTAACATCCCGAACCTTTTCCCGACAAGATACTGTCCGCTTTGGGCCTTTACACCCGCACAGATTTCGACTTGGGGTGCAATTCAGGGTGACTTCCCATATGGTCACCCATCATTGTTTTACTCCACACTGAGCACGTTTAACTTTGGAGTTCTCACAAGAACTCCTCTATTACACCCCAAAACGCGTCTTGTCGGTTAAGGTCGGTTTCCTACTTATGAACCATGGATCTCTCCCGTGCTTTGTCGACGTGGGATTTGCCTAAGGTGTTACAGCAGTTGTTGTTGTCCATGTGTTGAGGTCTGGTAGACAGTATGATTCACTTGTTTGTGCTGGTATGATACGTCCCCAAAGTTTACATGGTTAAAATGTTTTTAGCTTACCGGGTGACTGATTCGGTTAGCTTGGGGACAAGCAAACAGTTAAGTATGGGGTAATTTGATAATGCTATATTCTAACATGTTTTCCCCGTCATTTCGTGACCGTTTGAGCTTTGTTTCTCGCTCTTGTAGCCCGTTTTAGGCTTGTGCTTGTTAGTTTATGCTATTTCAGGACTTAGTATGTGAATGGGCACGAAGGAGCAAAGTTTTGGGACATTTTGGAGCGACTGGGCAGTTTAGCCTTGGGAGTTACGACCAGACCTTGCAAGTTACGGTCTGGCCTGTAACTTCCCAATAGGAGCCATAAGTGGCAAAGTGGAGAACGAAGAGTTCTAGAAGGCTTCTTGGAGTTACTGGCTGACCTTCCAATTTACGGCCAAGGCCGTAACTTAGCCTTTGAACCCATAACTCATGGGAAGCATCGACATCAGTTACAGAAGCATTCTTGGAGTTACGGTCTCCCCCTTCAAGTTACGGTCAAGACCGTAGCTCCCCAAAGGAAATCGTAACTCTTGGTTTATGGATTGCAATAACAACATCGTTTTGCCTCAAGTTACGGGCGGTCAAGGCAAGTTATGGCCATAACTCACGGATTCTTAACCTATTTAAAGGCTGCTCGGAAAATTTACAAAGGATCCAGATTTTTGGACTTCTAAAGGCAGAAAAAGAACCCCAGAGAGAGAGAGAGTGACGAAGAGAAACCCTTGGGCAAGGATTGGAGCGATCTGAAGACTTCGGAGATCGATTCCCCAACCTCAGAGTACCGATTAGCCGCCATGAGCAGTTGCCCATTGTCGTTCTGATGATGTCTACTCCGAGCATGACGTTCTCACATCTCTCCATGGAGTAATTTTCCCTTTCATCTGGGTATGAAGAACCCTAGTTGTGTATGTGGGAATGATTGTATAAACCCCATATTATGAATAATTGATTTGATAAATTCAGTTGGGGAATTATTTAGAATTGCATGAGTCCTGATCACACCTGTGTAATGCCGACTTTAACCTAGAACGATAGTCTCTACATAGGTTAAAAGATCAACCTTTACTTGAAAGTGGTGAATTGACTGCTTTAGTCGAGAATTGATTCACTGCTCCGTACTGGAAAAAATGCCAGTAGTGGAATTTTTGCGTGTTAACCTTGGTTAGTGTATGCTGGTGGAGATTAGTCGCCCGCTGGGTATTCGAATAAAGAGGGTCTGGATAACTTTAGTCGAGATCCAGACCATTAAAGAACTTCCCGCGGTTTATCTATCAATCTGAGTAATTGGGACCGTATAACCTGAACTAGCTGCACACTAGGGGGAACCATACCTGGATGACCTTTTGAACCTGAAAAGAACCAGACCATTACTTGTTTTTGTTTCTTTTGCACTAAAATAATTTCACTCGCTTAGTCCTGCTAGATAATAGGAGTTCAATGAGTAGGCAGTAGATTTATAGCTTATGTCGATAATTAGACTTAACAACTACTCTGCATTTCCACTCTGCAATTATACTTGGTCGCAGTTCGGTGTTGTGTCGTAGCATAGTGCCAGAAGTCGCTAGTCCGGGAATGAGTCGTTGATCTCCTCCAGGAAGTTGTCCACCGGAGAGGCTTCCAACTGTGAAAGGTGATCAGATGCGACGTTCTCTGCTCCCTCTTGTCTCAGATCTCTATATCGAACTTCTGCAGAAGCAGGATCCAGCGGATGAGCCTAGGCTTCCCGTCAGCCTTGGTCATCAAATAGCGAATGGTCGGGTGGTCGGTATAGACCACGACATGAGAAAGAACCAAATACGGTAAAATTTTGTCGAAGGCATACACCATATCGAGCACCTCCTTTTTCGGTGGTGGTGTGGTTCTCCTGAGCATCGTTCAAGGTCTTCGATGCGTAGTAGATAGGCTGGAAATGCTTATCGCGTCTCTGACCAAGAAAAACTCCAACCGCATAATCACTCGCGTCGCACATTAGCTCAAAGGGTAGAGACCAATTTGGAGTCACCATGATGGCTGCATGAGTAAGCTTCTCTTTCAAAGTCTCAAGCAGCTTGGTCAATGACAGGGAAATCTTCGAGAAATATTTGATGAAGCGCCGGTAGAAGCCTTCATGACCAAGAAAGTTGTGGATCCACTTCATAGAAACATGGGGAGGTAGCTTGCTGATTGTCTCTATCTTTGTGTGATCTACCTCGATCCCATGTTTGGAGATCTTGTGCCCGAGCATGATACCTTCACAAACCATGAAGTGACACTTCTCCCAACTGAGCGCCAAGTTCGTCTCCTTGCACCTCTTCAGGTCAAGCTCTAGGTTATAGAGACAATGTGAGAAGGAGTTTCCATAAACCGAAAGTCATCCATGAAGACTTCCATAATTTCTCCAACCAATCGGTCGAAGGTCGCCAACATACACTGCTGGAAGGTTGGTGGTGCATTACAGAGTCCAAAAGGAATCCTCCGATACGCGAAGGTGCCAAATTGGCAGGTGAAGGGTACGCGAAGGTGCAAAATGGGCAGGTGAAGTTAGTTTTATCCTCATCCTCCGGTGCAATCGGGATTTGGAAATACCGAGACATGAGATCCAAAAAGCAGTATAACTCATGCCCCATCAACCTCTCCAGCATCTGGTCAATGAAAGGCAGCGAGAAATGGTCCTTCCTGGTTCGCGTTGTTTAGGCACCGATAGTCAATGCAGACTCTAACCAGTCACGGTCCGCATCGGGATTAGCTTGTTCTTCTCGTTCGAGACCACCGTCAATTTGCCTTTCTTTGAAACCACCTGAGTGAGACTGAACCACTTGCTATCAGATATAGCGTGGATGATCCCGACATCCATAAGCTTCACGATCTCTGCCCAGACCATTGCCTCCAAGTTCAGAGTCAACCTCCGCTGCAGCTGCCAGACTGGCTTAACTTTATCCTCCATCAAGATTCTTTAAGAGCAGAAGGATGGGTAATGCATCTAATGTTCGTGATCTTCCACGCCGTGGGCCGGGTGTGCTTCTTCAACAGAGCCACCAGACTTCTTTTTTGCTCGGGAGTCAGTTCCGAGCTGATGATGACGGGGAGCTTATTCCCCTCGCGGAGAAATGTGTACTCTAGATGAGCAGGGAGGGGTTAAAGCTCGATCTCTGGTGGCTCCTCTAGTGAGGTAATGATCCGGGGCGGGACATGGACCGGCTTGTACGTCTTCACATATATTCACCTACACATTTACATCCTAAAATGACATAAATTGTACTAAGTTCATTTGATTTCTCGATTTTACGCTTGTTTTTGTTTTTAATTAAAGTTTCAAGTTATTCCATATAAAAGTAGAAAAATGAACTAATTTGTTGCTCAGATGATAAAAAGATGGTTAGGGTTCGAAATCTGACGTTGGTAGAACTCGAGCCTGCGACGTCCTAGGTGAGGGCAAAGAGCTGTACCACTCCGGCCGCATCCCCTTTTGGTGTCAACATACGAAACCCGTTGCGTATTATGGTGATGAATCGCGAAGAGAGAGGTAATTGACAATGCAGAGTCAAACCGTAAAATGCAGAGTCAACTTGCCTCCTACTAAACATAAGGAAAAGTTGTCAAAGGGGCCAACGTGTGCATGAAGATGGCCATGTTAACAGACCACGTCAACAACAACACACCCTGCAACATGTGCAAGTTCAAGACCACGTTTGCAAAAGTCAACGTGGGAAGCAACATGGCAATGTACGAGACCACGTCAACGTGAACATACCCTACAACATGGCCACATTGAAGAAAACCTCAACAAAGGCCAAGGAGCTGGCAAAGGGTCAACGTGGGCAGCAACATGGCCATGTCCGAGACCATGTCAACATCAACCCACTCAGCAACATAGCCATGTTCACAGACCACGTTCAGGGTAACACACCCAGGAACGTGGCCATGTTCATAGACCAAGTTGAGGTCAACACACCCTGGAACTTGGCCACGTTGAAGACCACGTCAACAAAAGTCAAGGAGCTTTCAAAGTGTCAACATGGATAACAACCTGGTAGATAACACCAAAATTGGTGTTATTTAACCTACATATCTAGGTGTGTTTTGTGCCAATTCATGTGCTTAGATGCTTGAACATCGTCAATACATCCCCATTGCATTCCTATTTGATTTTGATGTGATTTTCGGGTGTATTAGTCGATATGTGTGAATTAGGTACAAAACAAGTTCACAAGTGTACAGAAAGGGCAAGAATTGAAGATCGTGGCCTAGAAGCTGAAGATTACGGCCAGGATCACAAGCGGCGAAGGTCAGCTGAAGATCGCGGCCTAGAAGCCATAGATCGCGAACGCGATCTTGGAGGCTCAGGACGCGAAATTCGCATGGAAAGAGCCTTGGAGAAGCAGAGAGTTTCCCCAGTCGCGTCACTGCCAATGTTCATCTTGCTAGTGAGGAAGATCGCAACCTTGACTAGTGGATCGCGACCGCGAAGTCAGTCCGCGATCTTCCCCTTCCCAAAGGCCTCGACGACTGTGTTTTGAGATCACATCCCAGAGACCAAAGATCCCACCCGCGATCTCTCTTCTTCTGGCCACAAACTTTCCCGAGCCCAGAATGCCTTGAATACAGAGAGAGATTTTGAGAGAAACTTTCCCGAGTCCAGAATACCTTAAATACACCCCTTTCCCCTTTTGAAGGGAGCTGATTTTGAGAGAAATTTTCTGGTTCCACAGAGAGAGAAGAGAGAGAAGCTGAAGGAAGGAGAAGATAAGGAGAAGAAGGAAGAGCTAGGAGCAAGGAGCAAGGATGCATCTTCTCCAACCCCAAGTCTTCTTCTATTCCTACCATGTATCTTCTTTCCTACTTTGTGGAGTAATCCTCTAAGGTATTAGGTGTTCTAAACCCCAAACCCTAGTATTAGGGTTTACTATGCATATATTGATATTTTAGGGTTTGAATGAATGAATGTGTTTGTCTAGTTGATTTTAATGCCATTCTCTCCTACATAATGACTTTTGGGTAATTTTCTCTAATCTTCCCTCTTAGCCTACTTTATGCTACCGCGCTGGGTATGGAGTTCTAGGGTTAGACGAGCATGCGTCAACCGGCGAGTAAAGGTTAGATGTGTGAATGGGGGCCAATAGTGGTCGAGGCGACTGAACCCCTGCTATAGGTAGCCTTCCTAGATGAAACCTCAGTGTGGGCGGTGGATAGTGTCCATTGAAATGAGTCATAAGCTTAATGCCCCATATATGATAGCCTAGATCGAGGTGACTGGAAAATGGATTTAGGGGAGGTGCTCAGAGGCATGTGGATAACCACGAAAGCCCACGAAAAAAGACTCACTCACCACATTCGATGACCCTATATATCTAGATATGCATAGTAACCCTAAGCTAGGGGGGAGGGATAGTTCCCCGAAGTACCTGCTTTTAGCTTTAATCAATATCTATACTAGTGCTTCCTCATATCCTCCACTCAAAACCTCACAAACTTATTAAATAATTAGCAACAAGGTGGGAAGTAGGCTAGGGTACCAGGGCCCAGGTAGAATACGACCTTGATTACCACTATACGAAAATGTCGTTCTAGGTTAAACTTGGCCAAGGATGGGATAGTTGTTGATACGTGCTAACCTCTGACAATAACCTGCACAGATTCAAGGGATCAATGGACATGTCTGAGACCACGTCCAAATGAACATACCCTTCAACACGGCCATGTTGAAGACCACATCAAGAGAAGTCAATAAGCTGTCAAAGGGTAAACGTGGGCATCAACACGGCCGTGAAAATTATCAGAATCACGTTTCACATTCATTTCGTCACATAAATCACTTTTATGCCGCACATCTCGAGTGATCCCTGCATTAACTTTGCCGATCACCACTTTTGCATCACGAAAGAATTGGACCGTAACAAGCCTGTCTCCGCACACCAACGCATTGCATCGCCATCACCTCCATCAGGATTGGCTCCACCATGCCATCGTACCATGTCCCCTTAGCCAGTAAAATCCCCCCAGCCGCATCCTGGAGAACAATCCCTATCGATCCATGGGAATCAGTTGAAATTGCTCCATCAAAATTGCACCTATTATTATTGTTACTATCATTATCATTATTTATCATGTATTGATGTGAAGTCTTAATTGTTGCTACAAGCGTGACACGAGCCTCTTTGTTGTTGTTCCTCCCGCCCATTGATAGGAATCATGCATATAGCAAATGATTACTGTTCTTAATTAACAATGACATTACCCCCATTGAATTACGACTAAAGAGTTTGAAATGTGACATACTGATATAGGAGGGAAGTCAAAACCTTAACAATTACTCTATTCCCAAATGATTCCAACTACATTACGTATGATGATATACAGTGGCAGACCCAGGATTTTGGTATATGAGTGTTGACCAATAAAAAAGATTTAATTAATTAATTAATATAAAAAATTTATTCATAAAGATCATCAATTTCATTAACTTTTATAGTGAACCACGAGTTTACATATTCTGAAAAATTTTGTAATTACAATGGCTCATTAGGTTGCAAATCAAATATTTTTTTATGTACACAACTAAAAAATTATTCATAAATTGATCACTCAACTTATACCAAAGATTTTTATCGATTAAACTCATATATGGAAAATGTCATTTTGTAGCTTGCAGTTGCAATAAGTAAAGTCAACACTAATTTAATATGAGAAAGCTGGTATGAGAAGCTGGAAGGGTGGCCACAAGCGTCAATGTGTAAGTTTGAATAGTTTGAATGCGAATGAAGATGTTGTCGGCTCGATGCCGACAATCGGATGGTGGCGACAGGCGTCAACGTATAAAGAAATAGCTAAACTAGGAAGCAAGTAGAAAGTTAACTTAAGAACAATCCATGGAAGAGGTTATGGGGAAAGACAGTATGAAATTCACTATCTAATTACTTGACTCAACCAGATTATTAACCAATTTAATTTTCATTCAATTTATTGAGGTTATCTCTAATGTGATAGCTATCTTTCTGAATTCTCACTACGTAGTAAGTAGTCAATTAATTGTTTACTCTTCTACAACCAACTAATTAACTACCTAATCTGAAATCCGATAACTCCTATATTTACATATTTGAATACTATTATCACACCAAATTTTTTGTAATATAATAAAATTAAGGTGTGTTGATTACAATTATTAGAGGTGTGTCGAAGGTCCCCGTGTACGAATTTTTTACACCGAAAAAATTTGGGTTCCGTATAAAAATTTCGAAGCAAGGTGTGTCGGGTGACACACCTTGCTACAAGGTGGGTCCGCCCCTGATGATATAGCCACCTCTACCCTTCAACCCGACTCAATCACTGGATTCATCAGTTAAATAAAGATCAACTCAGTAGTAGTTTGGAAGTTGCGATTGTTTCGGTGAGATTGTTAATTTAAACGAGAGCAATAAAGAAGTATTAATTAACTTGACACTCATTACATATTTTAGAACATGGTGTGTAGAAAACAAAACGCGCAAATAGAACGAACATACCAATTTAATGCGGTTCGTAATTAACAAATCCTTATCCTTACTTAATATTATAGGGATTCAAAACAAAATTAGTGCCACATAGGCACATAGCTAACTCTCAATAATCCACGGTGGACTCTACTAATTCCTTTTTTTTTTTTTTTTTTACAAATGTGGGCTCTTTTATTTATAATTAATGATCTTTTTTCTTACACTTGAATATATAATCATTATCTCAACCATCCAAGGGGACTCTTCTAATTCCTTTTTTTTTACAAATGTGGGCTCTTCTTATTGTAATCGGTATTTTTTTTTTGCTTACACTTTAAATACATTATTTATTATCAATAAAATGTAAATTAAGGAAAGAACAATGTTTAATTTCCAATGCATTCTCTGGGTTTGCTTCCATCCCTTTTCCCGATAGCTTATATTTTTAAAAGGAAAATCCAACACTGGTAGGAAGAAGAAATAACAATTTGGATAAAGTCATGTAAAAAACAAGGAAACTATCTTCTTATTTACTCAAAATTTTGGGATTCTTGCATTTCTCTCTACTTTTTTACACAAAGATACATGGGAGGAATGACAAGGCATATGGAATTGAGTAGTTGTAACATCTTTTTGGGTTGTTAACGAAAAAAGATTCATCCCAACTTTGCGAAGACGAAGCGAACCAATTTGAGGATTGCAAATTGCTCCCTCTTCCTCTTGATCTTCAACTGGCGACATGTCTCTCTTCCCCAATGATTTGCGGCTGCCTGCAGGTCGAGCGGCCAAGTTCTACTCTTCTACTCATCTGGTATCCCTTTTGTACCAAATTATGGGACAAGTCAAAAATTTGCCTACTTGATTATATTAATGGGTTTCTTATTTGTTTTTCAAGTTGTTATTTTACGATTCTCTATTCTACTTTATGTAAATAGGTAACAAATAATTGGAAGAGTTAATTGCTCGGACTTAGAGCATCTCTCCTTGATTGAACAATTGATCGTTTTCTTTAGAGTCCTATGGCATCATGATTCCATGGGCCCTGGAATGCAAAGCAAAGTTGAGAGGGTATGATGTTTTTGTGTTTTTTTTATGTTCTACAATGACTACTAGCTAGCTATACAAGGATGATCTTATCAGCAAGTAGTATTTAGGAGGTGTTAAGTAAACAGGAAATATGCGGTGTTTCGTAAAGGCGATTAAGAAGAAAGAAAGCGGTTGTGGTAAACAGTGTGTCTATGTGGATGTTCTTTCAAATTTTACGCGTTTACAATGACATTTTTTTGTTTCCTTAGTTGGTAAGAAAACAATTAGGCTGAAATCAATCCCTGTTCATGGATGGGGATTGTATAAGATAGAATGAGTTAAGTTTTATTGAAGTCTACCACTTTTATTATTAGTGTGGCCTTTTATTTTTTTAACTTCTTTGGTCATTTTTGCTTGATAAAAGAATAATAATCTCTTATGTTGTTTAACAGTAGTTGACAGGTTCGATACTAAATGAACGCGTGATATAATTATTTCTATTCATTTTGTAATTTTGACATCCTC